GACCATTGACACAATACAAAAGAAGGTACAAAAATGAAGGAAAAAACTGCAAAAAAATGTACAAAAACAAGAAACGCAACATGAAGCGCAGCAATTCATAACTAATAATAATAATCATCATCATCATCATCATCACATTGAATGGGAAAAAGGCAGGATAGATGCAAATGCGGAAAGTATACGACACATAAAAAAGTAAATATAGTGAGAAAACGGGTATCATCTCACAATAATCGTCATTATCATCAACGAAAATGACAAAAACGTATAAATAACCGTGCAAAAATGTTTCACGTCAACTTAACCCGAAAATATTATGATAAGGGACTATGAGTAATGCCATCAACATGGTGTTATTGTGCTAGCACACAAATGAGAGGAAAACATAAACAGATAAATATGAAAAAAATGGAAAGCATGAAAGCTCATTATAACTTGGATGAGCTTCACTTTTATTTATCGTTGCATAGAGACATTGTACTGTTTTGTTTTGTTTTTTTTGTTTTTGCTCTCGCTTTCGGTTGTGTCGAACATTGTTCAATGTGCGTGAAGCACAGAGAATAAATACAAATCGGTGTCATGGACCAAGAAATATAGGAACGTGATAATGATAGAATTCAAACAATGTCGAAAAAATGTACACTGGACAACAGGAACAGCAATGTACAAAAATGTTGCAGCATATTGATCACACATGTTCGGTAGTTTTTTAACCACTTACTCAAAATAGAGGCATCTTCTTCTCTTTTTTTATATTTAATTTTATTTTGGTTCGCTATATTCACACAATGAATAAACTGCATCGTATAAAGGACAATCCGATTTAAACAGCGCATTGCTCCCTTCTTATGTGCTCAATATATAAACCAAATGTAGCCACATTTGGTGCTAACGGCAAAAACATTTCTCATAAAATAAAAATCTTAGTCGGAAATAAATGCTTAAGTTTAAACTTATTAGTTTAAACACAAAAACTAGTCATTTTAAATTCTCAACAACTTTTCTCGCCTCTGTCGATACATTCCACTTTTTTTCTCAGTTATACGGAATACTAAAGGGTGTTTTTTTTCGTCTGATAGATCTTTAACTTAAAATAAAT